TTCGAGTCAGGGCTGTCAATGTTCTGTATATATCGACGTGCAGTTAGTGTAAACTTCGAGTCAAGGCTATCATTGTTTTATATATAGACACTTGTACACTTCGAGCCAGGGCTGTCATTATTCTGTATATCGACACATGTAGTTTTTAATGTAAATTTCGAGTCAGCGCTATCAATGTTCCGTATATCGAGACAGGCAGTTTTGTATGTACACTACGAATCAGGGCTGTCATTGTTCTGTATATTCGAGTCTTGCAGTTTTTACTTCATACTTCGAGTCAGGGCTGTCATTGTTTTCTATAATGACACTTGCAATTTTATACTGTACACTTAAATTCTGGACTGTTATCGTTCTCTAAATTGAAACTTGCAGTTTTTAACTGTACATTTCGATTCAGGACTGACATTATTAAATATGACATTTGCAAATTATTTTACTGTACAGTTCGATTTTGGTCTGATATTATTATATCATTTACTGTAAGCCTCAATTGAATGTTGCTGATTTTCTATATAATGACTTTTCATTTTGTTTTTACCGTACACTTCCAGTGCTATGCATAATGACACCTTCAGTTTTAACTTTACACTTCGACTCGGGACTGACTAAAGTTGATGATCAGTTTCTTTCTGTCTTCCACTACTTGATTGGTTTTGTTTACAACCTCTGCATATGCATATCTTGTTTTAGTAGTAGTAGTAGTAGTAGTAGTAGTAGTAGTAGTAGTAGTAGTAGTAGTAGTAGTAGTAGTAGTAGTAGTAGTAGTAGTAGTAATAGTAGCATTAGTAGTAATTTTAATAGTAGTAATTTTAATAGTAGTAGAGTAGTAGCCGTTTTAGTAGTAGTAGTAGTAGTATTAGTAGTAGTTTTAATATTAATAGTACTTTTAATAAGAGTTAAGTAGTAGCCGTTTTAGTAGTGGTAGTGGTCGTAGCAATTTTAGTAGTAGTAGTAGTAGTAGTAGTACTAGTAGTAGTAGCAGTAGTAGTAGTAGTAGTAGTACTAGTAGTAGTAGCAGCAGTAGTAGTAATAGTAGTAGTAGTTTGAATAGTAATAATAGTAGTTTTAATAGTAGTAGAGTATTAGCCGTTTTAGTAGTAGTAATAGTAATAGTAGTAGTAGTAGTAGTAGTAGTAGCAGCAGCAGCAGTAGTAGTAGTAGTAGTAGTAGTGGTGGTAGTAGTAGTAGTAATTGTAGTAGTAGTAGTAGTAGTAATTGTAGTAGTAGTATTAGTAGTAGTAGTAGTAGTAGTAGTAGTAGTAGTAGTAGTAGTAGTAGTAGTAGTAGTAGTAATTGTAGTAGTAGTAGTAGTAGTAGTATTAGTATTAGTATTAGTATTAGTAGTAGTAGTAGTAGTAGTAGTAGTAGTAGTAGTAGTAGTAGTAGTAGTAGTAGTAGTAGTAGTTTTAGTAGTAGAGTATTAATAGTAACAGTTTTGATAGTATTAGTAGTAGTTAGTCGCGTCAGCATGTTGACGAGACAAAAACTTAGAATGAACTATATTCAACCAGCCCTGAAATAGTGTCAGAACAATTTGGATTCAAAGAGTCATCTGATGAGAAGGGCAAAAATCAACGTCACCTAAAATAATAGCTATTTAAAAAGCAAATGAAATTTAGGTCCAAATCATAAACGGCAATGCGAGTTAATAGAACTGTTCGAAAGTTTCGCATTAATGAAGTTATATTTTCTCTTTCCTGTCCATCGTACTTACTCTATTTCCTCGGAATTTATGCTGAAAAGAAGCAAGATATCAAAGTCAACTAGATTATGGAATAACAATATTATCACAGACAACTAGATTGTGGAATATTTTAAAATACCAAATTTTGTTAAATTCGGTTTATTTATTAAAGCATTCTTATAAGAAACAAAATATACTCTCTCTCTCTCTCTCTCTCTCTCTCTCTCTCTCTCTCTCTCTCTCTCTCTCTCTCTCTCTCTCTCTCTCTCTCTCTGAATACATCTTTATTTGGGAAATAATATCAACCAATCATTGATTTACGTTTAGGCTGAACTTCAGTACATTTTCTTCTAAAAGATTTTTATATTTGGACCAAGAAAAAGTTTACACATCAAGAAATTATTTAGGCATCGAAGCTTTATACAAGTAAATTAATTAACTGCGCAAAGGTATGAATCTTGATACACTGATATCTGACGTCGAAATGGCTTCCATCACTTTTACTTTAGAATTTACTATATGTTTATCAAATGCATTAAAATGTTATATGCTGCAGTTCATAAAACTAGGTTTCAAAGTCTATTCAAACAGATGAACTTTGGAGAAATTAATGGATATAATTCGTAGTTTACTAAAGAATATTTTGCTATGAAGCAGGACAATTAATCAAATGCAATTTAATACTGTCTTCTCCGTCTATCACTTAACTGTACTGAATCATATTTCACAGTACCTCTACTCTCACCCACCACACACCGACACATCTGTAATGTCCACCTTAGATAATAATCTACTCAAGCCAATCTAATTTCTCGTCATAGACCTCGACAAAACGTTGTATAACATAGAGTCGGTCAATTTGGGGAAAAGATCAAAGGTGAAGGTCGCTGAGAATAAAGTTATTTTTGCACAAAAATGTGAGTTATCTTCATTGAGGACTATTAAACACGGGAGTGAGCTACAATGTACATTTCACGATACTCTTGTCACACGAGTGTATTATAGTCTGGCTTTGGTTATGTATTTCTAAAATGTGTGCAAAATCCATACAACAGAGCTGGTGAAAAATATAAAGAAAAGAAAAACCATCAGAATGAATAGGCTTACTTACGTCTGGCTGGCAACCATTTTTCTGCAAGAGTGTGTAAAATCATAAATAAAAATTCAACTGAAATAGTAGACTACGCACATGCAACATGCATTAAGTTCAAATTTTGTCCTTTAACTATATAATTATTTCACGTTATGGTAATATATTAGAAATGTATCACGTAATCTGCGTGTACATATTACAAAGCAAAGAAAATGTTTTATTTCAAGTGCCAAGTAAGACTATATATGATGCCTAAATCTCACTTCGAAATTCCAAAATTTCAAGGCTTGCTTAATCATGCATTACTTACCTTAATCTGACAAGGAGCCTGAAATCAAAATATTCATATTTAAAGCGAGAAACAGATAGCTATTTTCATATTTGTTGCTGAATACGTTCTTATATATATATATATATATATATATATATATATATATATATATATATATATATATATATATATATATATATATATATATGTATGTATGTATGTATGTATGTATGTATGTATGTATGTATGTATGTATGTATGTATGTATGTATGTATGTATGTATGTATGTATGTATGTATGTATGTGTGTGTGTGTGTGTGTGTGTGTGTGTGTGTGTGTGTGTGTGTGTGTGTGTGTGTGTGTGTGCTGCCTCTCTCTCTCTCTCTCTCTCTCTCTCTCTCTCGGGGAGGGGCAACATTTATTTACGTACACAAGCGAATTTCATCAAAAGAAATTGGTTTTTCACTTTATAATACAGCATTTTGTTAAGATTTCAAATAAAAAGAAAATAAACTAATTTTGGGTATACAAGTGGAGAAATGCAATAATAGTTTTGTATTTATAAATGCTCACGTGTGTTTAGTATGTGTGCTGGATAATTAAACGTATATACATAGATAAAACACTTCAAGGTGTATAACTGCAAGATTTGAATAGAACAAAGTTGGAGTGGAATTTATGGTGAATACAGTGTCAATGAGACAACCACAACTCCATTCAATACAGTCTCATTGAGACAGAGACACTCCATAACAACTTAGATAAAAAATGAATTCCTTCATGCGTGCACACATTTGCTCCTTTCATATGAATGCCCGCCATATAGTTCGCTATGGATACAATGATATTTATTGGAGTAATTGTATCTTTATCACATTTCAAACAAACAAATGTATATTTATAACTTACTCTTGTTCGCTTTGTCTGAGTCTGAAAAATAAAGCACGTAAATTATCATTACATATGATTCCACATTGTATAAGAGAGTAATTTTCAACTGATAAAAATTTTGAGCGAATGTGGTGAACCACAATTAAGTTATAATAATTTGATTTAAAGGTACGTAGATGCCTATCAGGCACGCACGCTCTATTAGAGTTATTAAAAAAGTTTTTAATACACGACGGGCAAAAAATCCAGGTTCGGTATGTGGGTTGACACCCAACAGACACAGTAGCCATAAGCTAAATAAATAGCAGTTATAAAACGATTTAAACAGATCAGACTAGATAAAGCTATTTTCATTGACTTACTGTTGCTGGTCCGGACGTGAAGCCATCATGACAGGTTTTTATTTTCCAGCTGTAAGATAACAAATGGGATATATTGGATTAGAGATTATCAACTATGCATAATCTTTAACCTCTTGTGAAACATATCACGAGGGTTTTTTTAAATAGCAACTAATGATTATTGTTCATTCCCATATACCAGAGATTTATAAACGCAGGAGGAAGTGAAGGTGGGGTGGGAGATTAACATTGACATCGCAAAGTTTTATAATGTGCATGCCCCGGTAAGGACAAATCCTTCTATCAGAATGTTTTGAGAACAGAAAGATGGAAGTCATGAAGTCTTTTGTATATTGGTTTAAAGAAAAATAGTTTTCTCTTCTATCTAGTTTTGAACAATTAAGCAGTACATAATTATATATAATGGTATATAGTTCCTTACTTGTGAATTAGTGAAGTGCGTTTTTGATCCAATACATTGAATCTGGTTAAAGAGGTGTTCATATGATAAACAATGTTGTGGTCATATCACTACGATGTCTGCAGTTTGGCAGTTTATCGTGATGTCTAGTATTGGGGCATCATGCCGCAAACATGTAACATGATGTCCCACCTAGTCACATTATCCTGATACCAGACCCACCAGACCTAACGCTAACTTCTTAATGTTGAGCTTCTAGCGAGAAAGCTGTTAGAACCATTTTTATGACTCTTTGATATGACTTGGCCGGGGTTCGAACCCATGACCTCCCGCATTTGAGGAGGACGCTCTAACCATTAGGTCACCGGAGTGGTCGCTAAAACTACGCTGCTCCAAAAATAAAGATTTAATGAGAGTGGTCAATTTTCATGTTTGCAAAAACACGTAGTAACACATCTTTATGCAGAATTATTTTATATTAAAATTAGTCTAAATCAACTGTTAGATTGACCTTTATGAGTCATTACAGCAACACAAAAATAAAGTAGTCAAACTAGTTTGTTAGACACCTGACATACATGTATCTACGTTAAGCAGATTGGCGTAGAGATATAATAATGTCTAATATTGCACGGTCTACATGTATCTACGTTAAGCAGATTGGCGTAGAGATATAATAATGTCTAATATTGCACGGTCAATCGCCAGACAGCAACAGCCGTTTCCTTTGATGGGAAAGTGTGGAGTGGAGTACCTCTTGATGGTCAAATTTCGGGAAATGCTTTATTAACTGAGAAATTCACGTGGTAACCACGCAATCATATTTGCTGTAATAAACCACCCACATATAAGAGACCGTTCATACCATTAAGGCAATAGTGACAAGAATCGACACTAGGTATTCTTATAGCGACGAATCTTGTACATCTCATTAGAAGACAATATTTTTGCTGAAAGCATGGAAAATTACAAAGAAAACAGTTATTTAAGCATGAGTCATCTAGCAGGCTTGGTATAATGACTCATCGCCATATTAGCAGTTCTTTGAATGACATTGGTTGGTTCAGCAACCCAAATTATCCGGTATTGTCTATTGTAGAAAAGACTAACCGACGATAAGTATTATTTTAATTGATTGCTTTCAGGAATCTGTAATAAAGTTAATTGAGTGATCTACTCAATCGATGAGCAACGTATCGCCATACAATATTGGTAATAACCTTGAAGACCAAGTTGAAACCAGAATTCCTTTATGGCAATACGAAACATATATTTGATCTAAAATGGTGTGTAAATGACAAATTAAATGTCAATCGTGAAAATATAGAAGCTAGAAGAATAAGAAAAGATATGTGCACTTTGAATGACATGATCCAAAACAGACACAATAAAATAAAATGTCTAGAAACTATCATGAAGAAAGGAAACCTGAACTTCGGTTAGAAGCTGACCTACACGAGACAGAGAACTTCCGGTTCAGATGAGTCCTAAGTTTCCAAGAGGTGGAGACGGAAATGAGACTAGTCGAACAGTCGAGGTCGACAGAAGTTTTTTCGGTGGTGAGAAGGTGGAGAGAAAGTATAAGAGGAGGAAAAGGAGTCTGGAGGAGAAAGTGGAATTAGAGGAGGAGGAGTATAAAGAAGTGGAGGAGGTGGAGAAGGAATTTGGAGAAAGTTGTGGAGGAAGAGGAGAAGGAATTGTGAGAAATAGGCGAGTGAAGAATACCACAGATGAGTAGAATACAAGGACAGGTGGAAATCGATCTTACAGTGCTAATTAAGTAATGCAGTAGGCTATTAAAGGATAGAATAGAATGAGTGCAACTAAAAATTTGAAGCATCTGATTATTTAATTGTTATTAAATTGTTGTTCATTGAGTTTTAACCTTTTGTATATTGAATTCTTTAAGCGGGGCTTGAACCGGGTCATTCCTAATTCAGGACATGCGCCATGTCCTACCAACCTCCAACCTTTAAGATACGTACCCGTGTCTTAAAGTCCAATTTCAGCTTAATTGCCGGTCAGAGGTGCAAATGTTAAATCTTACTTGCAGTGCCAAATATAACAGAAATTTCTAGGCCGGACTGGAGATCAAACTCTGGCCGTTCTAAACTCGTAATGGGTGCACTACCACTTAAAAAATCCGAATCGACGCGCTCGATCATATCCGTTACAATTATTTCTGTCAAACACCCGTATTGGTATTTAAGATATTGATACGGGTCAAATTTTAAAAAAAGAACAAGCTAAAGACCAGCTAGTCAAGGATAACAAATATCGTACTTGTAATCCGATATCGATTCTTTCAAACGCATGTAATGGTATGTAAGATAAAGATATGGGTTTGTTTCAGAAAAGGCCAGTGAACTAATATTTTGATACGGTTCAGAAACAGAAATAATTAAAGCATCATTATTGCATATACGCTCGTGAATTGTTCTTTGCACTTTGTTTCTTCAGAGTTGCATAAATGGGAAAGCGATCATCAACAGAAACAGGGTGCGTTATCTTGCAGAGTCTGTCAGTGTTGGTATAGTATATGTGCTTGAACAATGTAAATGAATGGGCTGTTACTCTTGTTGAAACGTTGATTACACCTGTAAAAGCGTGTAATTGTGCCACAGGAAACCATTCAGTGTCAATATTAGAGATGAAATCAATTTTAAAGTCTCAAACGATGATTGCTTCATTGTTAATAAGTTCAGATTTGAGCAGTCAGTGATCAGAAAGGGTTTGTAGGTCGGTAAGAAGAGGAAATATAAATATATTTTTTATAAGGACAGTTATTATTTTGATTAGCTTGACTGGCATGCAGACAAGGGACAGATATACCAGAAAAGAGTACAGGATGGACCGTCTGTCCGTCCGTTCGTTCCTTAGCACAGGTTTGTTATCGCTAATCCATAAAAAGTACTTGGAAGATTGCCATAAAGCTATACAACATCCAAAATGACCTGTATGCCAGCTATCTTAAACATTTTAAGCACATCTTCTTGAACAGAAAGTCATATTGACATGGGGTTATCACCAGAATACGCATTATCATGTCCAGGATGTCTTAAATAAAAAGATGCCAATCTGACATCCAACATGGCTACCAGAGCTGCCATCTTGAAAATCTTGTTATTGCCACTGCTGATAAATGGAAAGTCATATCTTGAAATATAGCTATTTCTACTCTTCTCCAGATGGATAGAAATGTCAACACATGGTTTTCACCGTTAGACTTCTTGTGATTATTAGTTGATTCTAAATTAAAACGGTGCCAGTCGTACATCCAATATGGCTGCCATGACGACTGTCGTAAAAATCTTGTTTTCACTGCTAATGAATGATCCTTATGACATAGGGTTTTCACCATGTCCTAAATGAAAACAGTGTCAACAGTACATACCATATGACTGTCATGACTGTATTGAAAATCTTGTCACTACTTTCCTGAATGGATGAACACTATATTATGGTCTATCCCTAAAATACCTGTAATGATATCTACTTTAATATCTATTATGTCCACTACAGCAGCTGATTTGAAAATCTTGTCATAGCTGAAGAATATCATAAATGTCAGAGATAGTTTCAGCAATCAACAACTGAAGGAAGAAATGTCCTTATTTTGAATTCCTGGATACTCTTTTCCCTCATAGAGCGACAATCCCCCCAACGGACTCTTGTTTGTTTTTTTTTTTTATAATAATCTACATCTATATAATTCTTCTGTTTAATATTCAAAAACTAATATGAGATTAGTATATTAATGAACTTGTATCATCAAAGATATAAATTATCCATACTGGTTTTAAATTCATTGTATAATAATTGCACACAAAGGCTAAAACAGAGAGAGAGAGAGAGAGAGAGAGAGAGAGAGAGAGAGAGAGAGAGAGAGAGAGAGAGAGAGAGAGAGAGAGAGAGAGAGAGAGAGAGAGAGAGAGAGAGAGAGAGAGAGAGAGAGAGAGAGAGAGAGAGAGAGAGAGAGAGAGAGAGAGATGTGGGTGAGAGAGAGAGAGAGAGAGAGAGAGAGAGAGAGAGAGAGAGAGAGAGAGAGAGAGAGAGAGAGAGAGAGAGAGAGAGAGAGAGAGAGAGAGAGAGAGAGAGAGAGAGAGAGAGAGAGAGAGAGAGAGAGAGAGAGAGAGAGAGAGAGAGAGAGAGATGTGGGGGCACATACCTGTGTACGGAGAACCTTGTGACGATCCTAAAAAATATCTAATATAACGGGTGATTCGATCTCAAACAAGCTCATGGAATGCGAACTTGTGAACAGCAATATTAACTGATGAATGGCATTTTTCTTCCGGGTTACCTTTTTTTTACAGAACTAAGAAAGGACATGTTTCTTGCCAGTATTTGTATTGGCCTCTTGATACTAATGAGTGTTTTTATTATGAAATGAAGTCCGAAATCGTATAATTTATCTATTATATTTGCTCAGGGCTCTGCCCGCACCGTATTCATGTTTCAAGTTTTGGCTTGCACACATTTTATTGCTCTGTACAGCTTACTTACAATGTTACCATTGATTGTGTGTCACATTTAGATGTTATTACAACACTTCAGTTGTTTAAAGTTTCCTAAATGAAACACCGCCATTGAATAATCCGGAGGCATTGAAGTGCTGTGAAGAACATTGTTTGATATGTGTATTTGCACCAGCTGTCTGTTAGAATAGATCATTTTGCACGCATGAATTCCTTTACATTTCCAGGATGAAATGAAAATCCTTAAAACTTCGTATATATGTGCTTTATCATAATTTTATTAATGTCAGAACATACATGAATTGACAATGAAATACATAAATTCATTTTGCCATAATTATTGTTTAAAATAATAATAATGAAAAAATTAATAATAATAATAATAATAATAATAATAATAATAATAATAATAATAATAATAATAATAATAATAATAATAAGAAGAAGAAGAAGAAGAAGAAGAAGAAGAAGAAGAAGTTTTAGTATTAATTTGATCACCACACTTTCTTTAGTTACATTTTTACAAATAGTTTCTTAATTTCTTCATGTACTTGGCAAATTCTTGTAACCTCTGAACTCGTAGTAATTCCAGTTTACCTGTATTTTTCCCCGCGGTGAAATGAAAATATAATCTCAAAAATGTTTGTTATTTACACATACACATCATAAAATGCAAAATGGAAACACATCTCTTTATTTAATACTTGCAGTACACTATATTCAAACGTTAGTTTCATTTTCTTTCACCCAAACTTATCTGAAAATAAAAGCTCATTTCTAGCGTAGAAATTTTCGTAATTAGCAAATCTATCATGAATGATAAAGAATGACATTATTATGTCAACAGCTGTAACTATTACGCCTGTATCCGTAAATGAATAATGGCCAAAATTTCAG